TGAAGACCTGGCGAGGATTTCTCTGAAAAAGGAACCCTTGTATGTTGGTGTTGATGATGATAAAGCCAATGCAACAGTGGATGGTCTTGAGCAGGTACGTTTCACTATTGTCTTGAGCTCTCAGGGTCTCATTTGGTGGCTTCTTGTCATTTTGCAGATCATCTAGAGCCATTGGGCTATTGTTATTAAGTGCTGTTGAGTCACCCTGTATAGGTTTTCCTACAGAGGTTGGTGGGTTTGATCTGTCGACCTTGCCATTACCTGTCCAGTGCGTCTGACTCTCCAGGTAGAAAGTGCCATAATTTCTAGTTTGCCATTAGCTCTTTTCTCTGTTCATCCCTCATGCCATGTGGAAAGCATGACTAATCATACTTCAAGAATTTCTTGAGCTATTTTAGATGCAGTAAAAATATTCTTACTTAATAATATCAGTGAAATGGAAGGTGAGTTGGAAAATGGAGAAACTTTAGGACACTTAGTTATGAAAAGTAGAAATTAGATGACAGGGATTGTTCGTGGCTGCTTCCTCTGAAATATAGTTTCCAGTGCTGATGAGTGTAGCTGTTTACTAGTTAATGTTAGCCTTATTTTAGAAATCAGCTTTAAAGTCACTAGAAAAGTCATTTTAAGAACACTTGTTTTTAATCAAGGCAGCAGTTTTGCTATAGCTAAGAAATGGCCAATTTATATGTAATATTTATGTGTTTTCAATTCTGTTGTACTGACTCATGAAGCTGACACTGCCGGTGTGATTAACTTATGCCTGCTTGCTTGAATCACTTTCAGGGATACGTTGTTTGTGCCTCTGAAAAAAGATTCCTTCTGCTCTTTACATTCCTTAAGAAAAACCGAAAGAAGAAACTAATGGTGTTCTTTTCATCCTGCAAGTCTGTTAAATTCCACTATGAATTGCTGAACTACATTGATTTACCTGTCATGGCCATTCATGTAAGTGATAACAATGAGTTTTTGTTGTGTGTAACCAAGTCATGCTTGTCACGCTATACTGATTGTGCTCTCTCTTCTTAACTTACTTGTAGTCTGGCCAGCATTGGGTATCGATCCTCTGTTCAGGGAGTAGTGAGTTGGGTGTGAAGGAAGTGATAATAGTGAGTTTTTGTTGTTGTGTAAGCAGGTTATACTTGTCAAGCTGTGTAGATTGTGGGGTTTGCAGAATTGCTCTCTCTTCTCAACTTAGTTGTCAGTGGTTGGGTCAGCATTGCATGTTGACCCTCTATACAGGGAGCAGTGTGCTGAATGTGGAGAGAGCCTCAACAGAGTTGAGAGAGAGACAGTGTCCTCCTTGAGGAGAAGTAAAACAGATTGGGAGTGGAATAAAACCAGTGATGAACAACTCCACAGTTTGTGGTCTCGCCATCTAGATTTCCCAGAATCAGCCTCAAGGATCTAGTTTTAATAGGCATTTTTATTTTATTCTAGGGAAGACAGAAGCAAAATAAGCGAAC